CTGGGTTCTAGTCCTGTTGGGGCGCCGGATTCTGTCCCGATTGCCCCTTTTTCCAGGCCAGCTCTCTGCTGTGGCCCGGGAGTGCAGTGGAAGATGGCCCAAGTGCTTGGGCCCTGCTCCCCATGGGAGACCAGGAGAAGCACCTGGCTCCTGCCTTCAGATCGGCGTGGTGCCCTGGCCGCAGAACGCCGGCTGCGGCGGCCATTGGAGAGTGAACCAACAGCAAAGGAAGACCTTTCTCTCTGTCTCTCTCTCTCTCACTGTCCACTCTGCCTGTCAAAAAAAAAAAAAAAAAAAAAGAACAAAAGATGCTGATCCAATTTAATCCCATCAAGGTGGCATGTACCAATGCCATCTCCCCAGTCCAAGTGATCAATTTCAGTTCACAATTGATCATAATGAAAGGACTAAGAGTCAAAGGGAGCACATAAACAAATCTAGTACCTGTTAATACTAACTGATAGAATAAATAAAGGGGAGAGTGATCCAACATGGGAAGCGAGATACTCAGCAGACTCCTAGAATGGTGGATGTCCTAAACAGCACTCTGGCCTCAGAATCAGCCCTAAAGGCATTCGGATCTGGCTGAAAAGCCCATGAGAGTATTTCAGGCATGGAAAGCCAAGACACTCTGGCAGAAAAAAAAAAAAAAACACAAACCCTAAATGAAAGATCTCTGTGAGTGAGATCCCAGTGGAAAGAACAGGTCTTCAAAGAAGGAGGTACCTTTCTCTGAAGGGAGGAGAGAACCTCCACTTTGACTATGACCTTGTCTAAACAAGATAAGAGTCGGAGAACTCAAGGGGCTTCCATAGCCTTGGAAACTCATGACTGGTGCATAGGGAGATTACTGATGCCATAAACAGGAGTGTCAATTTGTAAAGTCAACAACAGGAGTCACTGTGCACTTACTCCTCGTGTAGGATCTCTGTCCTTAATGTGCTGTACATTGAGACTTAATGCTATAATGAGTACTCAAACAGTATATTTCGCTTTGTGTTTCTATGGGGGTGCAAACTGTTGAAATCTTTACTTAATGTATACTAAACTGATCTTCTGTAAAAAAAAAAAAAAAAAAGAAGAAGAAGAAGAAATTATCAATTCCCAACTTGACTCTCACTGGGATTAAACATGACAATAGGTCTGATCTGATTTCATCATCATTTAAAAAATCATCTATTATTTTTCACTTTATGTTTGTGTGGGAGCAAACTGTTGAAATCTTTACTTAATGTATGCTAAACTGATCTTCTGTATATAAAGAGAATTGAAAATGAATCCTCATGTGAATGGAAGGGGAGAGGGAGTGGGAAAGGGGAGGGATGCGGGTGGGAGAGACGATATGGGGGGGAAGCCATTGTAATCCATAAGCCGTACTTTGGAAATTTATATTCATTAAATAAAAGTTAAAAAAAAATTTTAAAAAAATTAAAAAAAAAACAAAATGAGTCTAAGAGGACTGTGCACAATCCACAAGGGTGCCCTGTACGCTCTGCAGGGGCTCTTTCTCCCCAGGCAACCTGTGGCTCACATCAGTTCCACATGTTCCAGGTAAGCAAATTATGCTAAAACTACATTGAATACCTTTGGGAACAAGAGGGTGTAACTAAGCACAAAATATAAAATTAATCATTTTGATACTAAGGCAATGAAATCATTTTTTGTTTCAAAATATCCATATAAGAAAACATGCACCGAGATCCGGTTAAGCCAAAAGCACTATAGCTGCCTGCAGTCAGTCCCCTCATTAGCACACATACTGAGCCCAGTCTCACACACCTATGTCGGCTTTCTAATGTACAACCACAAAGCACTTCAGACTGTATAAATCCACATTGAAAAACAGACCCATTCTTCGGGAAAGGAAAATCGAAAAAAACTTTCAATTGCACTTTAACACCATTGGAATAGGCGAGGGCATTTCAAGAAAGAAGTTCATGGAAAAAGAGTTAAAAGTTTATTTTAATGCAAAAAAAAAAAGCTTTGAAAGTTATACATGTTTTTTTTCATAATACACATTGCCCATGAACTTTATGAGACCCCTTGTGGAATGCATGGTCTATTCACTTCTGGTTCCTTAGCAATGTCAAACGGCAGTGCACTCATGAGCACTTTATCTGGTTGTCACCCCCAATCCCAGTAAACTCTTATGTGCTTGATAAATATTTCTATCCACTGTGCCTCCTCTACTGTTTTTATTAGCAAGTAATTTAATATTCTTTGCTTTGTAATATTTGCAAGAGAGAATCTACAGACATGTGTAGCCAGCCTGGACCTTCAAGCCTTCCCATCAGGATGATAGGATGGCCAGGTCTTCTGGGGATATTAGACATAGTTACCCCTCTACAGGAGATGAAAGAAAAAAAAAAAACAAAACAGGAGGTCTGTAATACTGACAAACTAATCTGTCACTCACAAGCTCAGGTCTCCCAGAAAGAAAAACGCAATAAACATTTAATGAACACGACGGGTAGAAACACAAGTCTTCATTTTTAAATGATATTCAAAACTCACGGCCCAGGAGCTGTCTCACTGTTCAGTTTGAATTGATTTGAAAGTCATCTGAAAGATACGAATCCATCCTGTGGTTCCAGGGGTTAGAAAGCTTCCTACAGAAACTGCTAACAAAAATCTGGTTTGATTTCCAAAACCTGTATGAATGAACCGAGTTTCTTGAGCTTGATGTAGCTGGGCAGGGAGTTTGCTCTTGCAAGTAGTAGACTGCTTAATTGCTTGCTTGGGGGGAGGGAAAATCCTTGGGGAAAGGCACATATGAGCAATATCTACTCTGTGAAGCCACAGGCTGGCTCATGGCTGGCAACACAGAAAAGTCTTCCCTTTCCCCCAGTGGAAGCCACTGTGGATACTCATCCCAGAGGTGAATGAAAAAATCCTCTGGATCATATTTCATGGGAATCTTTTGTGTCCTGAACAGAAAAGATCACTAAAACCAGGTATTTGCTCCTCAACCCAAAGCCATTTAGGAAGAAAGGAAATGGGCAAAACCAATTATGATTCCAATACACAGTTCAGAAAGAATGCACACAAACATTTGCATTCTCAAGTGAGACTGTCCATACCTGTTAAATGCTAAGAGCTAAAGAATAAAACATTCCTTTTTGGTTAGGAGTGATTACAGAATAGTAAAAATTATTTTCATGTTCTTTTCCTTATTGTTAGAAGTAATCATTTGAGTACAGATTCTTAGCCATGCTGTACAAAGTGAATTAATTTTAAATGTATATGCCGCCTTTTTATATTTAAAGATACATTTTAGATTTTCTGACATTTATGCCATGTGTATAGCATAACATGTTATTTTTCTTTCCCTTTGAATACTTAATAGTTTCAATGTCAAATAAAAAAACATTCTAGTTTGTACATGTTTAGCCTAGACAAATTTTATCTTCAGAATCACTGCTTTTAGAATTTGCTAACTTGACAATGAGTTTTTTAAACAAATAATTTATGAGAAAGAACATTTTCAGAAAACATACGGTTGCTCTGAGGCAACTATGTACTAAGTATCATAACAAATCATTAACACACAGAGTTCCTGGACTAGGGAGCCTTTAAAAATTAGAGAGTACACACAAAATACAGAGAGCAAGTAATGAAACTAATTTTAAGTCCTGATAAATTACAAACTGAGTCTTGGATCTGTAAAATGTACACAGATTTTTTTTAATGTATACATCTGGACCTTTTAAAAGTATTTACCTTTACAATTGATTTCCAGTAAGTGCTATTGAATGACAAGCTAGAAGGATCTCTGATTCATCACCAGAAATATATTCAAAAGGAAATTTTATTTCTTATCTGGGACTGAAGCAGAATAATTTTCACAGTGCTAAGTCCTATACCCATGCCATTGGAAACACAGAAGGGGCACTCTCACGAAAGTTTCATTAAACAGGACAAGACAGTCATCAAGGGCTCAAGTTTTATTTACATACCAAAAGGCCATCTATTTTAACAGGTATTTATTTAATTGCCTACACTATGATTCTTTTAGCTCTATTTAATACACACTTGCTTATCAGCAAACATGTACACTGAAACAGGCATTAACAGAACATAAAATCATTTTACATATTTTCTTCTGTTAAATACATGCCCAGAGATTTCACTCTATACCTGTCGGTAGGACAAAAACCAACATGAAAGTTTTTTAAAAATATTTTTTTTCTATGGAAGCAAATATCTACTTCTTTTAAAATAGTATGAGCCCATGGAAACATGGCATTATGTATCTGACATTTTCCATCTAAAAATACATTATGAAGCACACTGGTATTAATAAACCATGTGCTTTCAGAACCCTGAAGTGCTTCGCTGTAATTTTGTTGAAAACAGAGTAAGATGGTATATTTTCCACCATGCTATTAACATACAGCCAACAAATTTTATGTCATCACCTTGCCAGCTTGTCTCCATTTGGGAAGTGTAGGAAAAAAAAGAAAACTTTTAAGAGTTCATAAATATGCGTCACCACATTCTGCCTGATGAGTTAATAATTTGCAAGTAAGCATAGATAACTCAAATTTTAGTCAAAAATACAATCCCAAAAATAATTACAAGGAGCCATGTATTTCTGTGCACTCCCTGTCTCCTTCCCCCACCCCCATCACAGTCAGAGAAAGCACCTTCTGCGGCAGCCAACTCTCCCGCTCTCGCCACTTCAGTTATCTGAAGGCAAATGAAAAGACAAGGATCCTTTCCTCTCCTGATTCCGCTTACCAGGCAAAGCTCTGAACACAAGCATCAACTACCGACTTCCCAGAAAGCACCCAACAGAAAGAGCAAGACTCACTGACCCATTTGGAAGACAAAGACGACAAAACAGAAAAGCTCTAAGAACCAGCTGGTGAGGCCTCTGAGAGAGATTCTTCTGGCATTTCATCACCGCAGCCCCGGACCGGCTCACCTCCCTGGATACCAGGAGGAGGAACTAAATAGAGCTGTTTATTAAAGCTGTTGTGCTAGATTGCATTAGGACGCGCCAGCAGACCACCTGGACCTTTCCGATTGTGGCAGTGTTTAATTTGCAGCCTGCCCCTCCACAGCAGCCAATACTCCCACTGCATTCAGCTAGCTCAGTCACACGCTGTCTGGGGGTAGAAGTAAAGGCACACACATTCATACATTTATATTTTCCTTAGGAAGAGAGAGGGGCACAGAGGGACCAACACAGCCAAAATAAAAACAGTGGACAGCATTAGAAACACTGTTCACTCCTACCTAGGAAACATGTACTTTATTCTCTTCTCACACTTCATCTCAACAGAAAATAAATCCCCCCAATAATTTCTTAAACACCCACATCAAATCATACATTAGACTTGTTCTTCAAAAAAAATTTTTTGGGGGGTGGTGGTTTTAGGTTTTGTTTCACGGCAGCACGTTGAAGTTTTAAGCGGAGGTTTCCTGGCCAGATTTAATGGGTGCCTTTTGCCTTCCGCACTTTCAGCACTACACTGGCAGGTAGCTTAAGATACAGATAGAAAGATGGTACAGTAAATATGAATTATGTGAATCATATGGTGAGACCCTTGTGGAAAAAAAGAGAGTTGAGAAATGGCTGACTCCATACCTGACCAATTACAGCTGGCATGGTCCCCGTGTCCTGCTGCGCTGAGAGATCGCAATCCATCATATGTTGTCTTTGAAAAGGAGAATGGGGGTTTCTGGCATGCATCTGTCAATCAACTTCTGCACTCACAACCATCACCAAAAGCAAGGGGGAAAAAAGTCAGGCTGCTCCACCAAATAGGATGAAACCGTCATGTGACCTCCGGCAGACACGCACACACACATTCACTACCTCCATGGAGCGTAAGAATTTTCTGTAGATATGAAATGACATTGACAAATATCCAATACCAAGTAAATAAAGTGAGACAAACAGCTATTCACCAAAGACAAAACGTTGGCTGTAATCTTCCACTAAGGGCTTAACAAACCTATGAGGATTTTTTAAATGCTCTAGAAATCTATGTATAGGAGAAAAACAAAAACAAAATTAACTATTTCATGGGAGTGGTAATTGAAGCTTTGATTTTTATGCCACCATATGCATGTTTCAAATTATAATTCATTGCCATACTTCTTTTAAGCTATAGCTAATGATTTTATTTTCAAAATCTCTAAGTGACCTTTTGACAATACACAGTAATCTCTGCTGTTTTATATGAAGTCACCTTTATAGAAGAGCTTGAAATGTTAACTGTCACATAACAGATACCCTGGTGTGTGTTGATTGGAAGTGGATATACAACCATTTGTGTGAACTGTGATGACCACTCAACATAAAATATTCAAAGTGTGTAAATAGTAGTCACTAAACTTTTCATTTTTCTAAAAGGTTAGAAAATGATTTACCTGCAGCTCATTCAAACTGATGTAACGTGATGTCAAATATTTTAACTTTTTACATGTAACTTAAGCTATTTGATCCCACATGCTCTAGGAGCTTGCTGATGCATGCGTCATGGGCCAGTTATTCTAAGACCTGCATGTAATCCAGGGGCTTTTTAACCCTTTCAGGATGAACATTCAAACCTGGCTTCCAGGACAATCCTACAGATACCGCAAACTTGCTCTCTGGACACCCAAAGCCACCTGCAGAAGCCCTGAATGGAACAGCTTTGTGCAGTTAACGTTCAGTTCATTAACATTTGCATACATCCACTTCCCAAAATGAAACCCATTCACAAATGAACTCTCCCTCACTTTACAAAAATTGTTTCTGGAAAACTGTCATTAGAACGGAGATGTTTTTCAAGGTTCAAAGCTGATGTTAATCTGGAGAGGCCGGAGAGTGAGGAGAAATATTTAATACAGAATATATACTATTGCATATATTATATGTAGTATCACATAATGTCTTGAAAATCAAAAGGAACTACAGGTAAAGAAAAAAGCAATTTTTAAAATGCTAATTAAGTTTTAGGAAGAAGGAAAGCTTGAAGTCTCAGTCTTCTCATTAGCAGTGACTTCACAAAATAGATACAGGCACAACAGCATCCCGCAAATAAAAAGCATACGCACGCTGACTGGGCACCACCCCCCACCCGCCCCCGGGGAACCCGGCACTGGACAGGGCCTCGATCAGACCCTCCATCCCCAACCGCTCTGTCGCCCCAGACCCCCGACCCGCGTCATCGCCTCCCTAGCCGGGGAGCGGAGCGCAGGGACAGAGGAGCTAGGAAGATCGGGGGTCGGGCCGCCGTGAGAACCCCCAGGGACCGAGCCAAACTTGCCCGAACCTGCGGGCTCACAGAGAGCAGGTGGGGCGTCCCTGCTCCGTGCGTCATCCCTCGGAACCCGGCTCCTGCCGGCGCCCTACAGCTGCTCCCCGAGACCCGGCCAAGGCAAAGTCGCGGAGGAGGGGTGCACAGGACCCCGGGCCCTCCGCCCAGCACAGCAGCAGCCTGGCGCCAAGCCCTGAGCGGTGACTGGGCTGCGGCGCCTCCCGGGGGACCCCCGCATCCAGCATCCCCTGCCTGTGCCCACTCCGACTCTGGGAGTGTGGTCTCGGCGTGGGAGGGGCGCTCCGAGGTGGGGTCGCTGCGGGCCGCTGCAGCCTCCTTGGACACCCCACTTGCCCGGAGCCCCAGGCGTTCTGGACAACTCCCCAGGGATGCAGGTCCGAGTGAGAGAGGGAGCCAGGCTGCAGAATGCAACTGAAGACCCCCTTGAGAGCCCCGCTCCCCAAATGATGGCGGTCAGATGCGCAGAGGGACGATGAGTTGTTTGCTCATACTTCGGCGGCTTCCGAGACTACCCAGCCGGTATCGGCCATAAATTATTACTCGCCAGCACCCACGAGGCCCTGGGCCAGGCCCTGTGTAGACACTTCTTAGGAAGCGCCTTCACTCAGTCCTCGCAACTCAGCGAGGCTGCTAGGATTATTCCCATTTTACAGATCAGGCTCAAAAAAATCACTGCTCAAGATGACCAGGGACACAATTTGAACCTTCTGCTGAATCCAAGGCAATTCACGTTGGCATGAAACCAGAGAACGGAGTAACGGTCATCTTCATACCAAGCATGAACAAGTGCGTGTGGAGCCTGTCCTAGTTACAAGTACCCTATTAACTGCTGGAAATACAGCAAAACAGCACAGATTGCTTTAAAACAAGAATAAAGCAAATGTTTCATAGATTTCTCTTCAGGGGACTGTTTGATTCCTGCAGATGCGAGGTGTTTATTTTAGGCACTATCATGGTACAGACTTGGGTCCTGGTGGACTTGATCCCTTCTCTGGGACAGGCCATGGCCTTGGGAAATGCAGCAACTTCGGAGTCAGGAGATTATGTTTTCTCTTATCCCAGAGGTAATATGCCCTCGTGGGTAGTGTAAGGATTTGGGGAGATGTTTTGTGAGAGTTTATTCAATTACAAGCTCTGTAGGTACCAAGCAAATGTTAGTTATTTTCCCATATGGGAGGACTACAGGCAGACAGGCAGGAAAGAGGAATTTTGCTGGGGGACTGAGGAAGACTCCAGAGAGATGGTGGAAGAATTTTGGTTGTGATGGAAACTGAGGGCAGCTTCTATTCAAGGCAAGGGGAACAGCATGAGCAAAGCCATCTGTTCTCCATCAGAGTGATTGGCAGGGACTTTCACGATTTGGGCAATGGAAAACAAATGGGAGAGATCAGGGGGTATGTCAACTAGTGTTTACTCTCACTCCCGTAATAGGAGCTAGGAAAGGGAATTCCTTAAGTCAAATGTCCGTCTCTTCTGCTTTCTCATCTTCCTGTGAAATTGCTGCAAAATCATGCCTTCTTACGACCATGCAAGACCCCCTCCTTGCAACACAAAGCAGTTAGGCATGCTCTTTTCCCAACACAGAACACCTTGAATGTAAGGCGTGAATCAGACCAAAGAGGCCCCAGCATCGGCCCCGACTCCAGACCCCAACTTCTATGATAGGAGTGTTCTTGGGTTTTGAACACTAAGCCTTAGGACACTGAGCGGTAAAGGCAGCACTGGAAACCAAGATAAAGTAGAAGTGCTGTCGCCTCTGTCTTTGCTTGTATCCAGTAAATATCATACAATGTCCAGTGGTAAGGAAAGATAATATAGCTAGATGCCTCTTGTGGCAGAAGATCAAAAGCAGGAAAAAATGGATAGATGCTGAAAAGATGCACTTTTACTGGATTTATTGTATTTCCATTTGTGTCATCCAAACACATAGGTTGACTTCAATTCTATATGACCTGCCTTCCTCTCCAAGACCCATTCTCTTGTAGTTGCTTTTTTTCCTTTTGTTTTTCAGTTTTACTGTTGTTTGCCTTTTTTTCAACTACTCCTTGTTTTCACGCTTTTCTTACTTATCACCTTCCTGGTTTCTAGAAGGTTAACATGACCATTCCTCCAACTCCTGTTTTCCCCATATCCTCCCCCTGCCAGCTGACTGCAGCCTTTACGTAGAGGACGCATCACAGCAAGGCACTGTGTACGGTGTGGCTCACCATGGAGCTGACTGGCATTGCACAGCTTAAGGCTGATGTGGGGACCAGACAGCAGGTGGACAAGATGCAAGGTAGCCAGTGTTGATCCACCTTTCAGGCTGGATCAACTTGACTTTGCTCCCATCTTCTTTTTCAAGGTCACTTTTTTCCCCCCCAGAATTTCATTTGGCACCACGAGCCTCTGGAATGATCCATGGCTTTCTGTTTTCACTACATTGGTGCCTAGACTCTCCAGTTTTGCAGAGTATCGCTCTGGAATGGTCTTTTCAACCGCCATCAGTTTTCAGAGGCGGCATTAGACAGCTTTTACTTCCACGGGACATTGATGAGTACTACTAATCTGTACCCTGGGATCTTTTGCTGTTGTTATTTTCATATTTCTAGTGAAGGTGACGACAGGGAAAGTACCAAGAGCAAAGTGATTGTTTTTAAAAGAGAATGGAGGAGAGGAGAGAAATGTGGCCACTCTAAGACCCAGGGACTGCAGAGCGGAGAGCAGCTTGTGAATGTGGAGCCACGACGCTGCTATTCCCGAGGATCCATGATTTACAGTTTTCTTCTACAGCAGGGTTTGGGAGCAGTGGTTTTCCCCTGAGAAACAGTGACAAGATATTGCCGTTTCAATGAACAGCTGAGAAGTTTGAGAGCCTGTTGGCTCTGGACAAGGCAGACCCGTGAATATACCAATGCATTACCTGCCCCCCACCCCACCCCGCCCCGACTTTGTCATCTTTTCTACCAGGGGAAAAACAGAAAAAGCCAGCATAAGGAGCCAAGTGTCTCCCTGCCATGAAATGTTTTCTTTACAGCGATGTATTTTGATATTCTAGAATATTTCTTCTGCCTACATATGCTTGGGGAAGGCACATGAAATTATCCTGAATTTCCCTGTGTTTTGGCAGTGTTGGTGTCTAAGCCCAAATGGTAACATAACTTCTCATGAAAATTCTCCAGCACAGGACAGGCCCATACTGTTTCCTTACAGCCACAGTACACAGGGGAGAC